CATGATCTGCTTTGAATGTATATGTCACTCAAATATGAACGGAATGGGGACGTGTCATTGACAATGACTTGTTTGTATCATTGTCATATGAGAAGTACTGTAAAATCTGTATTAGAAGCCGCGGCTTCTATTAAAATGGTACAATGCAACAGAGGGGATGCGGCTTCTATTATAGAGCATCTACACATATGAGAAATGATGAATTTTTAGTTCTCAATTATTCAAATAGTATGGATGCGACTTCTATTAGGGATGCGGCTTCTAATACAGATTTTACGGTACTCTCGTCCTTATTTAGAGATACTTGAAACTAATTCAGGGCCACAAACTACATGTAGATCTGTACATGAAGTACATGGGAATTAAAGTTACACAGGTAATTTACACCAAGGATCATTGCAGTTTCTCAGTTCCTTATCTGGTGCTAGTACTTGTATGACAAACGGTATCTTTGCCCTGTTACTGTTTGAAATATCAGAAGCTTTTCGCTGGAACAGTTCTGTAATTGACAGTGTTCTTGTATTAGGAATACAGTTGTACAAGGAAGTATATCCAAACAGACACAACACTGACTCTTCAACATATTTGCAGATCTGATTTGCATACTTGCATGTCATTTTACCTGTTGTACTTGTTTGTTGCTCTCTGGTGTTCTTGCTGAGATCAGGGTGAAGAGTGCTATAAACTTGAAAATGCCATAGAAATCATGTTTGCCAATTTACATCCATGCCAAAAACTGGACAAATTATATGTTGCAACTCTCAGTGTCATTCATGACCTGTTTGATTGGATAAAATTTTACGACTTGGAAGCCATTTTTTCCCTCAAAAATCTAAAAAAAACAAGCTTTTTCTAGCTGTTAACAGCTTTTTCTCAGATACATGTATGTGTCATCCAGTTTTGTTCAAAGTTGGTACAGGGACAGGTAATAATTGTTTACAAGTGCACATTGCATTATATGTTTAACAAGTTATAAATTGTCTCAGAAAAGCCAAATGAATAAATTTTTACCCCACCCCCTAAAATTGTAACACATCAATTCTGAACATTTAATAACGGAATTTTAATACAGCTCATAATGAATTAATTCACTCTGACACAAACTAAGTTCAATACAAGTTTTTTTTTATTTTTTTCTGAGCGGGGGCTATGACATGACATGTCATGTCTTGTTTTTTTTATTAGAGAACGCTCACGCGCATAATCATTAAATATTTGAAATACCCTGTAAAATACAGCAAAATTATGACACACTGTATCTTATGGCGTTATGGTGACAGATGTATAATATATAATGATTTTTTTCTTCAGACTCTGAAAGAGATGTTGGAAAATGGCATTGCATACTTACATGAAGGGTTGACAGAGGTAGAGAAGAAAGTGGTTGAACAGTTGTTCATGGCACAAGCTATACAAGTTGTGGTAGCATCAAGAAGCATGTGTTGGGGAATCAACATGGCTGCCCATCTTGTGGTAGTCATGGATACACAATATTATAATGGAAAGATTCATGCGTAAGTTTTTTTGTCACATTTTCCTTTTAGTGGTCAGCATATAAGTCAACACTGAAATAGAGATTAGTGTTAGATTCGTACACACATCGTTTGCTCTTGAACTGAATCGTTTTACCTCTCAATGCCCAAAATTTTTCTCTTCAACATTTTTCAAATATCATATGAATGTTGTGTTGCATTAATATATCTTGTTTATTGACAGGTATGTGGATTATCCTGTAACTGATGTATTACAAATGGTTGGTAGGGCAAATAGACCCTGGATACCCACAGAAGGTAAGGCCAGACTTTTTAGTCCCCGTTCAGACGAAGTCCGAAAACGGGGACTTATAATTCGGTCTCTGTCCGTCCGTGCGTCCGTCACCCGTGCGTCCGGAGTCATATCTCAGAATCCCTTGGACCGATTCCTTCATTCTTAACATGTGCCAAGTACTGTATGTGGGACATATGCACATGCAGTGGTTTAGCGATTCGATTCACAATGGCCGACTGGCAGCCATCTTGTTTTTTTGAAAATGTTGTATTTCAGACGTGCTTTGTCAGTTTTCATTCAAACTTGGTACATAGATTATACATGTTAGGATACATGTCCATGGCGATTTATTTCACAATTGGATCAAAGATAGCAGACTGGCAGCCATCTTGTTTTTTGAAAATGTCGTATTTTGGACATGCTTTGTCAGTTTTCATTCAAATTTAGTACATAGGTCATACATGTTAGGATACATGTCCCCGACCGTCCGTGAGTTCCTGAGTCTGTCCGTCAGTCTGTCCAGAGTCATATTTCAGAATCCTGTGGACTGATTCCGTTCATTCTTTGCATGTACCTAGTACTTTATGTGGGACATATGCACATGCAGTGGTTTAGCGATTCGATTCAAAATGACTGACTGGCAGCCATCTTGTTTTTTGAAAATGTTGTAAAATTTTGGACATGCTTTGTCAGTTGTCATTCAAACTTGGTACATAGATTATACATGTTAGGATACATGTCCATGACGATTTATTTCGCAATTGGATCAAAGATGGTCGACTGACAGGCATCTTGTTTTTGTTTTTTTTATGCAGTATCTTGGACGTACTCTGTCAGTTTTCATTCAAAATTGGCACATACATGTACTTTATACATGTTAGGATGTATGTCCATGACAATTTGTTTCAAAATCTGGTCAAGGATGGCCGATTGACAGCCATCTGACTTTTTAGCCTTACTACTATATTTCCACAATTTATGTACCATTTTCATTTGTGATATTATACATGATATCATACATGATATTATACATATGCATATTTGTTTCATGATCTGATTCAAGATGGCCGAATGGTGGCCATTTTTGTACTAAAAATCATCAAAATCAAGCATTTCCTGGCTGTTTACAGATGGATTTTGTTCAAACCTTGTATATACGTTGGACATTATAGGACCTTGATGCACATCATTTTGTTTTTCGATTTGATTCAAGATGTCCGAATGGCACAAAAATCAAGCATATCTTGGCTGTTTACAGATGGATTTTGTTCAAACTTGGTATATACATGAGACATAAGACCTTGGTTTCACGATCCTATTCAAAGTGGCCAAATGGTGGCTATTTTTGTGCTAAAAAAATCCTCAAATATCAAGCATTTCTTGCATTTATGGATCGATTTTGTTCAAACTTATAACATACATTTAACATCACAGGTTCCTGATGCACGTCATTTTATTTTTCAGATTGGATTTAAATT